TAGGTGGGACGGGGTTATAGGTCCATTATTGTGATCAGTTCCCCCTTTCTCCCACTACCTTTCCACTACCCTCATGGTATTGCTACTCTCATCATTGTTTCTGAGGGGTTTAACTGTCCTGGATTCCCTGTGTCAAGAGCTCTTATCTGTACCAGTGCACATGCTCTAGGATTTGTAAGGTAGAACTGGGGTCATGATAGTGGGGAGGGGAAGCATTAAAGTAGCAAAATTACAGTTACGAAGTAGCAATGAAAATAATTTTATGGTTGGGGAGTCACCACAACATGAGGAACTGTATTAAAGGGTCTTGGCATTAAGAAAGTTGAGAATTACTCTACTAGAGGGAGATGGATTAAATATGGTCCATTCCGACAATGATTTTTTTATTTCTGTAACAGTTTTATTGACATATACTTGTCATACATATGATTCAGCAGTTCCATCACATTAAGAAGACTTGTACAATCATCACCACAATCAATTTTAGAACATTTTATCATTTCTTTTACTCCTTGTTATTAGCTCTCCATTTCTCCCCAGTGTCCTTTCCCATATCCCCCTGAAACCATTAATCCGTTACTGTCTCTATATATTTATCTATCCTGGATTACATATACAGAAAAACATCAAAAAATCAAAACAAAGCAAAACTAACAATAATGAAAAACGAAAACAGAGGGAAAACCCCAGTTAAAAAAAAGAAAGAAGAAAATATTAAGACCTAGGACAAATCTAAAGTGAGTCTAAAGGAAGAACAAATGATGACGGGTGGCATTTTAATCTGTGGCGACAATAACGCATTTCCAATGCATGACAGCCAGGCTATTTGCATTCCTGGTCTGTGGTCAGAGGGGATTCACCTGGCTTAATCCACAGGTATTTCCCCTTCACTTTTGTGAAAACTGAAATCACTTTAAAATGGATTTTGACAATGATTTATCTTCTGTCCTATAAGAGGAATGTCTTTGTATTTCCACAAAGCTTCCTGCTTTACCAAAGGCTTTTGTCTACAACGTTTCGTCTTGGTCTTGATCCTCACTCTGTCTCTACGTGGTCTATAGAGTGGTTAGAATTTCCTTTACTTTTTAATAGGGGGAAACAGAAGTTTAGAGATGGTGGTGACTAGCTCAGAGCTACATGATTAAAGAATTAGTAAGTGGCAAATCAAGGGTACGTGACCCACAGGTTGAGAACCGCTGCCCTATGAAGAATAAGGACCTAGAATCTTTGAGTGTGATGGTTCTTCCTGTCAACCTAGGGAATTTCCAATGGAAGAAAAAGACTCATCGGTGTAAAGAATTTCCAGGGCACAAAAGAAAGGCTTTAGCTTCGGTTTTCTGAGAACCCGCGATAAGCTGGATGCTTAGAAAACCATATAACACTATATAGAAAGATATACCAAAAAAATGTAAAAAGTGCCTGCTGTCTCATTTTTCTAATCTTAATATCTCTTCCAAATCACACAAGAAAGAAGCTATTCTCCACCATGGGCCAGAGCAACCACACCAATGTCAAGGAGTTTGTCTTCCTGGAGCTCAGTCCCTTTCAGGAACTGGAGTATTTCTTCTTTACGGTCTTTCTTCTTGTGTATACAACAACCATGTTGGGCAACGTCCTCATTGTGGTCACCGTCACCTCTGAGTCCTGCCTCCACACACCCATGTACTTTCTCCTAAGGAACAAATCGCTTCTAGACATTGTTTATTCCTCCATCACTGTGCCCAAGTTCCTGGCGAATCTTTTATCCAAGAGGAAGACCATCTCCTACAATGGCTGCATGGCACAGATCTTTTTCTTTCATTTTGTGGGTGGGGCAGATGTCTTTTCCCTCTCTGTGATGGCCTATGACAGATACCTGGCAATTTCCAAACCCCTCCACTATGTCTCCATTATGAGGAGAGAGGTCTGGGTCGCCTTGGTGGTGGCTTCCTGGCTGGGAGGTGTTCTGCATTCAACTGTCCAGATAATTCTGTTACTTCCACTCCCCTTCTGTGGCCCCAATGTTCTAGATGCCTTCTACTGTGATGTGCCCCAGGTGCTGAAACTGGCTTGCACTGACACCTTTGTTGTGGAGCTTCTCATGATCTCTAACAATGGGCTACTGACCCTGCTGTGGTTCCTCTTGCTCCTGGGGTCCTACACCGCCATTCTGGTGATGCTGAGATCACATTCCGGTGAGGGAAGGAGCAAGGCCCTCTCCACCTGCACCTCTCACATCCTGGTGGTGACTCTCCATTTCGTGCCGTGTATTTACATCTACTGTCGGCCCTACATTACGCTGCCCATGGACACGGCCATCTCCATCAATAACACAGTCATCACCCCTATGCTGAACCCCATGATCTACACACTGAGGAACCAAGAGATGAAGTCAGCCATGAGGAGAATACAAAGGCGGCTTCAGTCTTCTGAGAGCAATAAAGTAGGAAAGGGAGTCAGATGAAGACTGGAAGTGTGAATTTTCTCAAATATATAGATAAAGGTAAGCGACAGATGGTTTTTTTCACCTCAGTCACTTAGGGACAGTCGAGTTGACCAGACTCATGAGAACCCCATGTGCCGTGGAAGTAATGAGCCTTCTTCCTTTTTGGTTTTCTAACTCTCGATCCTTGCACATTTAATTACAATCTTTTACTTTGTCTTCTAAGTTTTCTGTTCAGCTCTTTGATATCCTCATATGTTCCATGTTCCTTAGTTACTGTCCGATTAAGAGCAAAGTTCAGCGTGTCTTCTGACCTCCACACTGATCTTTTCTTTCTTTCCTAACTGTGTAATGACCTTTTTCTTTCTTCATGTATGATGTTCTCCCCACAGCTCTTCAGATCTGCTGAAGTTAACATTCACGGCATCAAATCTGTTCTGGACATGTTCTCAAAATCCAGGTGTGATTTTAGCTAGGTTGTCTTTTGGCTCTTGGGGACTTGTTTTCATTTTCTTCAACTTCAGACTAAACTTACATGTGAGCAATTGATGGTCTGTTCCCAAGTCAGCCCCTGACTGGTTTTTGCTTCTGGTTGTGAGCTCCTCCATTGTCTGTCCCTACAGATGTAGTCAACTTGACATCTGTGTATTTCATCTGGAGAAGTCCATGTGTATAGTCACCATTTGTAGCATTGAAAAAGAGTATTTGTGAGGAATAAGTTGTTGATCTTGCAAAATTCTATCATGGGATCTCCTCCTTCATTTCTATCACCAAGGCCTTATTTTCCAATTTCTGTTCTCTCCTTTTTGTTTCCAATTTTTTTCATTACAATCATCAATAATTTTAAATGCATTATGATTGCATGTTTGATCAATTTCTGACTGAAGACATTGGTAGAATTCTTCAATTTCTTCATCACTAGCTTTTGTGAATGGTGCATAAATTTTAATAATAATTATACTGATTGAATTTGGATAGATACAATCCAATCACAGCCACAGGCAGCATTGTACTTCAAGATAGATCTAGAAATGTCCTTTTTGGCTAAGAATGGAATGTCATTCCCCTTGATTGTGTCATTTCCAGCATCATAAGCCGTATGATTTCTAACTCCAAATAGCTAGTTCCAGTCCATTTCAGCACATTCATAACTAGAAGTCGAATTTTATGCATTCCATTTAATTTTCTTACACCTTCCAATTTTCTTAGATTCATACTTTGTACATTCTAAGTTCCTATTATTAATTGATGTTTGTGACTATTTCTTCTCCTTTTCAGCTGTGTCACATCAGCCAGTGAAGGTCCTAAAGGCTTTAGTCCCTCAGCATTGGCATGATTACAGTAGATTCTACTTTGAGAAGGCAATTTCTCCTCAGTCGTATGTTGAGTCTCTTCTGACATGAGGGAGTTCGTCTTCTGACACAATCTCTGACAGTGCTCTGCTTCTTTTCATGAGGTTTTTAGTATCAGACAATGTTTTTATTCTGTCCATAAGGTTCTCTGTGGCTAGTTCTTTGGAAGTGGACATCTTCATCCTTCTTTGTGGTCTGTTCTTAGGCTGGCAGCTCCCCTGAATCCTTTTCAGTAATTTGTAGCACCAGTGACTTCATTTTCAGCATCACAGCAATGCACGGGCTACCAAAAAATGACAGACAAATGATGTAGACAAACTATACACAGATCTATAAGGGGAGATATAAGGTACTTCACAATAGTGAGGTATGTACCCGTGGGAATAAACAACCATGTGAAATGAAAAGGGCAGTGCTACCCAATGACAAAGTTCAGAAGGGTTAGCAAAGGAGGAGGAAATAAAATAGGAAGCACAGGAATGCATAGACGACTTATCTTATTTTGTTATGTTATAAATATATCATTTTGGACTGCAATCAGTGAGCTGAAACAAAATGTGTACGAATTGATGAATGTAAAGGGTGTGATCTGCTCTGTAAACTTCACTGATTCACAATAAGAGTTAAAATTAACATTGTTTTTACAAGAAACTGGTACGATGACAGTTACATAGACCAATGGAACAGAATTTGGACCTCAGATGTAAATCCATCCACCTAAGGTCATCTGATCTTGGGCAAAGGGCTTAAATGCATTAAATGGAGAAGAGATCTTCTATTTCTAAAAAACATGGATATTAATGTGAAGAAAACTGAAACAGGACCCTTATCTCATATATAAAGACAGCTCAGGGTGATTCAAAGACAGAAATGTAAAATCTTGAAATATAAAGATCATCAATTTTAAAATAAAGACTAACAGGAACCATACTTACATAATCTTGTTGAGCAAAAAATACAAGAAACAGAATTATATGAAGAACACTGCTTAAGTAGAGAGCAAATATTTTTAGAATGATGAGGGCGATGAATGTACAAATGTGCTTTACACAATTGATGTATGTATGGATTGTGATAAGAATTGTATGACAAAATAACAATTTATAAACTATCAAGGGCTCATGCGGGAGGGGGGAGCAGGGAGGGAGGGGAATAATGAGGACCTAATGTCGGGGGTTTAAGTGGAGAGAAAATGTTTTGAGAATGATGTACAAATGCGCTTTACACAATTGATGTGTGTATGGATTGTGATAAGAGTTGTATGAGCCCCTAATAAAACGATTAAAACATAAAAGAACACCACACTATAGCTTTCGTCACAAACCTTAGTCCACAGAGTGAAATACAGTTGTTAAAAGAGATCTGAAAAAAAAAAAAAAAAGAGATCTGGTGCCACAATGCAATCAAAAACAACATTTTTAAACCTCATTGCCATCAAGTTAATGCTGACTCATAATGACCCCTGTGGGTTTCTGAGACTACAACTGTTTACAGGAGTAGAAAGCCCAATATTTCTCCCAAGGACCTGCTAGTGGTTTTAAGCATCTGATCATGTGGATCACAGCCCAAACTGTCACCACTACCCCACCAGGGTTCCTTTTTTCCTGTAATTTTTTTACTTTATTTACTCTCATCTTTTACCTCTTCCCTAGTTTCGCTTATCACACTTTGTCTTTCTACCACTCTAACTGCCCTGAGGGGAACGACATTATAAAGTCCTGGGTAATATGTCATCTTATTTTTTGACTGCTGCTTCCATAAACGTGGATTACAGCAAAATGAAATCCTTGAAAACTTTCATCTTTTCTCCATTTATCATGAGGTTTTTTATTAGTGTATGAGTGAGGCTTGAGGGTTTTTTTTAAATATGCAAACCATACTAAAGGTGGCAATTTTTAAAATTTTCATCAGTAAATGCTTCAAGCCATCCTAAATTTCAGGGAAAAAAAGCAATTGTGCCAACTGCATGTTTTAAAAACAAACAAACGTACTGCCATGCAGTCTTTTCCTACTGGTGGCAAGCCCTCCTCACTCTCAGCAAGCAAGTTGTGTCCTCTGCATATTGAAGGTTGCTAATAAGCCTTCATCTAATTTGGTGTCAAGTTCTTCTTTATATAGTTAAGTTTATTGAATTATATGCTCAGCATACAGATTAAAGAAGTATGGTGAGAGGCTATGATGCTGACCCACATCTGATTTTAAACCATTCAACATTCCCTTGTTCTCTTCACACATCTGAAATACCTCTTGCTCCATGTATGAATTCTACGTGAGCTGAAGGAAGTGTTGTAAAATTCCATTCTTCTCAAGATCACCAGCCATTCTTTGCATAATCAATAAACCCAAATAAACCTTTTTCTGGTATTCTCCTATTAGAGTCAAGATCCATGTGACGTCAGTAGTGTTATCCTTATTCCACATGCACTCCTGAATCCAGCTTGAATTTCTGGCAGTTTTCTGTCAATGTACTGCTACAATCATCTTTGGATGATCTTCAGCAAAATATTACATGAATATGATATTAATGAGGAGACTGCAAAAACGGCTTCAGTCATCTGAAAGCAATAAACTAGGGTGAGGGAGTCATATTGTATCTGCCCATACACATGCAGTTTTCTTCTTTCTGGATCCTGCCCCAACCTGTTTCCCCCTCTTTACTTGTTTTACCTTTTCTTTTTTTTCTCCCTTGTTTTGTATCCATTCCTTCTCTGCTTTCCTTTTCCTCTACTGCTCTTCTTTTCTTTTTCCTTTAATTTTCTTATTTTTATTTCTTTTTAGATCTTGTTATTTTTTTTACTTTATTTACTCTCATCTTTTACCTCTTCCCTAGTTTCGCTTATCACACTTTGTCTTTCTACCACTCTAATTGCCCTGAGGGGAACGACATTATAAAGTCCTGGGTAGAGTGGGTGAAAAATGGGGAACAATAGATGTCAGGACTGCTGGTCAAATCAAGATTGATAGAACCGCTGAGACTTTGACCCTTAGGCACCCTTTGAAACTAAGACAACTCACTCCATGGCTTAATTTTTAGCCAAACAACAGACAACGTTGTAAAGGGAACAAGGGCACTAGTGAGGTGTGAACACCTTAGAATACTTGATTAAAGATGACCAGATTGACACAAGGACCAAATTCAGAAATAAGGAGATATAGACATGAAGGAACAAGGAGGAGGTGGGAAGAGTGGTGTTACCTGGAGGAGAATGGAATCAATGAGATGAAACAAATGTTCAAAAATTACTTAATGTAAAACTGATAACCTGTCCTATAACTTTTGCCCAATTCACAATAAAATTCTCTGTATTTAAAAAATAAAAGTCTACTGCTATTTATGAAGTACAGAAGACATGTTTGTTTCTTACAGGAACTTTAAAGCACATAGTGGTTTAAAGAATAAACATAGTGAAGCACCACTGATTGGCAACTAATAATGACTTTAAACATTTTTTAATTAAAAAATAAGCAATTCATTGAGTGTTTCTCTATTTGGATGTATGAACAATAATGATGAATCTATCATTATTCCTTTGCCATTTGTCTTGAAATCTCACAATCACTCAGTGGGGGTAGTTAAAGCACATGTTGCCTCTAATTTATCTATTAATTAAATGAAGCACAAGAGAAATGAAGTTATCTATTCAATCTCACATAAGATGCTGATAGAAC